GTGGGACCCCACAGCAGTTAGGAGGAATGGACCATTGCTCCACAGAACAGCATGGATGCATCTCACAGTAATGACCTTGGGCTGGAGAGCTGACTCTGCAGTTAAGAACACTTACTGCCTTTGCAGAGGATGGATGGGGAGGGTGGTTTCAGGTCCCCATATCAGATGGCTCACAGCCACTTGTGACTGCAGTGCCAGGGAATCAGATGACCTCTGACCTCTTGGGACACCTGTATACACACACGGTACACATAAACTCACTCGGGCACACATCACTAAAATCCATAAATGAATCCTTAAACAAATGATGATTCCGGGTTAAAGAAGCTAAGCAACAGAAAAGCACACAAACTGTGTGGTTCCACTTGTATAAAATAGAGAAGTGGTTGCCAGGGATGGGAGGTACTGAGTGCATGAGGTGGGGAAGTGACGGGGCGGGGAGGGCTACAGGGGAACTAGATTATAGTCATCTTGACTAGAGTAATGCTTTCAAAACTTAGCTAGTTGTACACTTCGTATAGATTTAATTCATCACATGTGACTACCTGAATAAAGCTGGGGAAACCCTCCATACCAAAGGCTTTCCACACAAGAGCAGCAGTCCTTGCCCGCACCTCCCACCCTGCTTCCCAGAGCAGCCACTCAACTCTTAGGTGTGTTTTCTCTCTTCTTTGTTGACTGTCTCTGTTGAATTTCAGTCTCTGTTTGTAGGTCAGAGTTCGGTTCTCCTATTCCTCTGCTTTTACTTTTCTTTCCTGCATCCTAATGACAGTGTTTAGTCGAATTCTTATCGGTGTTAGTGTTGCAAGGGACACTAAATATCAGATACCGCTGTGTCGAGAAGTCTGTTTATTTTTTTTTTTTTTTTTTTTTTTTTTTGGTTTTTCGAGACAGGGTTTCTCTTGTGTAGCTTTGCGCCTTTCCTGGATCTCACTTGGTAGCCCAGGCTGGCCTCGAACTCACAGAGATCCGCCTGCCTCTGCCTCCCGAGTGCTGGGATTAAAGGCGTGCGCCACCACCGCCCAGCCTGTTTATTTCTTTAATATCTCCCACAGTTAATGCAATAGCTGCATTTCCCCCAGTCCCTTTGCTGTCTGTACGTGTGGCTGATTCTTTCAGATGTCTTAATAGTCTTGTCAGACACCTAGCATCGATTTCCCGAGGTGTTCCAGGTACTGTACAACCTGTTTTCTGTGTGTGTTTCTTTTTATTTCTTCTTGGAGTTTTATTTTTGAGACAGAGCTTCATGTAGCCAAAGCTGGCTTCAGACTGATCCTTCTCCCTCCGCTTCTTGAGTGCTGGGTTCTATTTTCTCTATTGTGTCTTCGGTGTCAGAGATTCTCTGTTCCATCTCTTGCATTCAGTTGGTTATGCTTGTTTCTGTAGTTCCTGTTCGTTTAGTCAGGATTTCTATTTCCAGCATTCCCTCAGCATGTGTTTTCTTTATTGTCTCAAATTCATTTTTCAGATCTTGGAATGTTTCTTTCATCTGTTTAATTGCTTTTTCTTGGCTTTCTTTGATTTCTTCCCATTTTTTGTTCGTTTTTTTCTTGGAGTTTTATTTTTGAGACAGAGCTTCATGTAGCCCAAGCTGGCTTCACACTCACTGTGTCACCAAGGACGATCTTGAACTTCTGATCCTTCTCCCTCCGCTTCTTGTGCGCTGGCTTTAGAATCCATCATGCCTGGTTTGCACGGGGCTGGGACCTTATGCGTGCTGGGCAAGCACTCAGCCAACCGAGCTGCATCCCCAGCCCCTGCAGTCTGTTGGTTCCAGTATCCCACTGCCCTTCCCAGGGCTCTTTCCTTCACACATCTGCCTTCCTGTGCTCTGATGGCTTTGTGCACTAGACTCAGAGCTGTGCTGCTCAGGGCCCCTTTCTACTCTTCAGTGTCCGTCACCTCAGTCCCACACCCTCCACCATTTTCCCTCTTGGTTTCCCCCATCGGTATCTTCTCCAGGAAGGCTGCGTACTTGACTTTTCCACCCCTCTTACTGAAAATGATTTTTATCCCTCACATGATATGTCCTGGTTATGGTTTCCCCTCCCTCTACTCTTCCCAGTTCCTCTCCACCTCCCCTCCCCTCCAGATCCACCTCCTTTCTGTCTCTCATTAGAAAACAAACGGGCTTCTAAGGGAATATAATGTAATGCAATGCAATACAATACAATACAATACAATACAATACAATACAATACAATACAATACAATACAATACAATACAGTACAACCAAAACTAACATTTCCGAACAGAAGAAAACAAACAGAAGGAAAAGAGCCCAAGAGAAAGCACAAGAAAGAGACTCACTGATGGTATAATCAGGAATCCCATAAAAACAGTGACCTGGAAACCATAATGCATATGCAAAGGACCTGTAGGGTAAAAGTAGAGAAGGAAAAGTATATATAAATAAAATAGAAAAGGGAAGCCCTGACAGGACAATAAGAGACAGGCAGCCTCCAAAGCTCCCGAGTCCACTTCCTGTTGGCCGTCTGCTGCTGGGTGTGCAGTCTACCCTTGAGAGTAGTCTGTTGTCCCCAGTGAGACTCCCTTGGAGTAGGTGAAATTATCATTTGCAGGTGGTTGTCTGCTGGAGATATCTCTGGGTTAGGGATAGGGACACCTGTCCACTCTCCCTTTCCGCTCTAGGACACCATCTGGTGCAGACCTGTACAAGTTGTCTCAGTCTCTGTGCGTTCATAGGTGCCTAGATCATTGATTAAGAGGACCTTGTTTTCTTGGTGGCCTCCATCCCCTCTGGCTGGTACACTCTTTCAGCCTCCTTTTCTGTCAGGGTCCCTGATCCCTGACAGGAGGGATTTGAAGAAGACCTCCCTTTTAGGACTGAGTGTCCCAAGGTCTCACTCTCTGCATAATGTCTGGCTGTGGGTCTCTGTATTTGTTCCCATCTGCTGCAGGAGGAGTTTCTCTGGACACACTGTACTTTTTAATTTGAAAGTCAATTTTTAAAATTCCTTCCAGGGCCAAAAATGTCATTATTTTACCCTAACCTAAATATTTGGCTAGATATAGAATTCTGTATTGAAAGTGACTTTCCCTCTGAACTTTAGAATTATTTCTTCATTGCCTTTTGGCGCCTGATAAATTATCAAATATTCAGGTATGTCCTCCTTTGAACACAGTTGTGATCCTTTCTTTGCTGGCCCATTGTTTTGTTTTAGGCATGCTTTGCCATTCATTGTCCATCCATCCTCTGCACAGGCATTCATTATTTATATATGTGTATGTATATGACATCATTGGGTAGCAGACACTACTGTAGACTCTGGGGATACAGCAGCGACTGGAACAGACTTCCTTCCCGCCTTTAATTTCATCTAGTGGTCAAGTCCAACGTTAAGAAACAGCAGTATAGAACCACTCCTTAGACAGGTAAGGACAAGCTGCAGGAAGGGGTGGGAAGAGACAGACTGTTTTAGATAGGTGGGCAGAGGATGTCTCCAGGAGACAGGCGAGCAGACTCGAGTGAGGTCAGAAGTCACGACTGAGGCAGAAGGAAAGGAACAGAATGTGAAACCACTTGTGACAGCCGTCACACCAAGTCCCATGGCAAACCCTGAGTCTTTATTCTGTTTACAGCAAAACCAGCACACTTCCTCTTTCTGAACATCTTTTCCTTTTGTCTTACAGGATACCATTTTTTTTGGATTCCTACCCACCTCACTGCCTGCTCCTCTTTAGGTCTTCTTTTTGTTGATTCTAAATAAAGAAATGCTCTAGAGATCAGATCCTGATCCCCTTCCACCAGAACACTGCTCCAGGGAAACCCACCAGCACTACCTCTCTGGTGCACTCCAGATGTGAACATCTGCTTCTTGACAGCTCCATTTGGCTTCACCAAGCACCTCACACTCAGTCCATTTACAACATAATTCAGACCCACTGTCCTTCACACAGTCTCCCAATCATCCAGATCTCATGATGCTCAAGCTGTTCAGACCAAGAATCTTGAAAAGAATGAAAGAATTCATTCTTTTTATACCCAGTCTGCCCATAAATCCTACAATTCTTCCATCAAAATATATTTCAAATTTGGCCACTTCCCATTATTACCACCCAGTGGAAGTCACTGTGCCCGCCCTTTCTAGCACACTGCAGAGGCCCTCTGGGCCTCACTACCCCATGCTTGCTAATCTTACATCTACAGCAATCCATAGTCCCACAAACGTGATTCTTTAAGATCTACGTCTGCCCTTGTTCGAGGACTCCAAAAGAACCGTCCGAGTCTTCACCGTGCCCCGCCGGCCTCCCCCGCCGGCCTCCCCCGCCGGCCTCCCCCGCCGGCACTGGTTCCCGTCGGTCTCCTGCATTGCTCTCCTTTGCTTGTCCCCATCCATGGTGCTTCTGCCTCAGTCTTTACACTGTGCCTCAGTCGTGACTTCTGACCTCACTCGAGTCTGCTCGCCTGTCTCCTGGAGACATCCTCTGCCCACCTATCTAAAACAGTCTGTCTCTTCCCACCCCTGACTGCAGCTTGTCCTTACCTGTCTAAGGAGTGGTGGTTCTATACTGCTGTTTCTTAACGATGGCCTTGACCACTAGATGAAATTAAAGGCGGGAAGGAAGTCTGTTCCAGTCACTGCTGTATCCCCAGAGTCTACAGTAGTGTCTGCTACCCTATGTGTGTGTGTGTATGTGAGTGTGTGTGTGTGTGTGTGTGTGTGTGTATACATATATATATGTGTGTGTGTATATATATATCTGAATGATGAATGCCTGTGCAGATGGGATGAATGAACAATGATAAAGCATTTCTTCTAAAAATAAAAAAGGTATAACCTATAAAATGATAACTTCCACCTTGTAGGAAGAACTCATACATAAATCTAACAGACTAAAAAGTTCCTACCTCAAAATGTAACCATATTGAAAGAAAGAGTTAAAGACTCATTTGGAAGATAAGTAAAAAGGTATATGCTTTAAGCATTTGTGATTAACATTTTTCTAACTGTGTCTTTCTATGTTTTCTTAATAGCACTTTCTGCCTCTTGCAAATCTGGAATGTTCACCAAATGTTGAAATATTCCTTTGCCAAGCTTTCATACCAACCTGCACAGAGCAAATCCATGTGGTTCCACCTTGTCGTAAATTATGTGAGACAGTATATTCTGATTGCAAAAACTTAATTGACACTTTTGGGATCTGGTGGCCTGAAGAACTTGAATGTAACAGGTAAGTTATGTTTTTCACTGAAAATTGAAAATACAAATACTGAATACTTTCAATATTGTTAGCTACCCATGATATTACTAACATTGACTCACACTTGGGCACAATGGTGGTAAGCACTGTAGACCTACCTATTGGTTAGCAATCAACAGCCTTAGTTTTTGCTCTCAGGGAACTTTGGGTGAGGGAGAAGGGGCAGGTAATAATCAAGTAGTTCTGTTAGTAAGTGCAGTAATGACTGAGACACAGCAAAGGCGAGGGCGTGATTAGAACTGGGGCTGGGGAGGGGTCAAGAAGGAGTTGACTGTCACCTAAACTGTGACAGATACGGATGAGTTACTTCGGTGATGGGAGAGGGGAAGAGCATTCCAGACACCAGGAGCAGCTTGTCCTTGTGATGGGAAAGCTCTTGGCACAGTAGGGCGTTGAAATACCATGAGGAGCTGAGCACGGTGGCACAGGCCTATAATCTGAGTGCTCCTCAGGAGGCTGTGCCAGGGGATCGGGACTTCAAGGCTATCTTGTGAGACCCTGTCTCGAAAATAAAATAATAAGAACGACTATGGTACAAGATAAAGAGAGAAGCAGCAGTCAGGCCCTCCAGATGCACAACATGGTCTCCTGCCGGGGGCAGGGGTCCCCAGTGTGCAGATCAGGGCGCTCCTGCTGCGGTCCCATGAGGGATGTTGGAAAGCTCTCCTTGGCAGTTCACCTCAGGACTCCAGGCTGCCTCCCTTTTCCAGCGTTGATGAGTAGGGAGTTCATCTCAGCTGCCTCTGCCAGTAGCCCTTTACATCCAGGTGTTTTGTTTTGTTTTGTTTTGTTTGTCAAGATGTCAGTCATTTGGTCACAACTGGACTGACTAATAAGGAGAGTGTGCATGTGTGTCCAGGAGGAGGAATCCAAGGATGAGGAAGTACCTGGTCCAGCCACTGTGGAGGAGCAGTCGCTCCTTTACTGGAGTGCTGGGGGCAGAGGCTGGACTGTGGGGCTAAGAGGGATGGAGGGATGGAGAATAAAGTCAGACATGTGCACAGTCTTCAGGAAACCTGGTGTTGAAACAGGAAGAGGGTGTGGCTGCTGGAGGGACTCAGAAGATTCCCTTAGTGAGGTAAGTGGGGAGGAAGAGAAAGCACAGAGAAAGTCAACAGCGGGCTTTATCTGTGGTAGAGTTTTATTGGACAGATTTAGTACAAGATGAAGGAACAATAACTGACTACTGTAAGAACTTCAGATCAAGGGAAAGACAGTCATACACAACAAGAAGAAACAGTCAGTAGAGTCTTCTGAGGAGGAGATAGGATCCCAAGCACAAATGTGACAGGCAGGAGGCGCCTCCGTCCTAGTGGTGGGATGGGTCGGGGTGGCCCTGAATGGTTGGGTTGTATGGTTACCAAGATGCTTGGAGGACTTCGCCTGCTAGTATCCGTTGGAAGTAGCTGGTGTCTGGGTCCTGTTGAGTCGGGGAGGTGGTTATAAATTTGATAGGCGGCAGGTGGAGTAGACTATCGAGGCACTGTGGGTAATCCTGAATTTGTAGTGGATACTCTGGTCTGTGGAGACATTCTGCAGCAGTGGTGGGATGCTGGGGCCTGTTACCTGGGGAACAGGTATTTGGGGTTAATCTGTGGTTGAAGTTTTATCAGATGGATACAGTGCAAAGATGAGAAAGGGTAACATGAGAGGCTGCAGAGAACATTTGTTGTTCTTATAGACAACCCGGGTTCGACTCCCAAGCACCCACATGACAGCTCACAACTGTCCATTACTCTTGTTTCAGGGGATCTGATGCCCTCTGTTAGCCTCTGAGGGCACTAGGCATCCACATAAAGAAATGGACGCAAAACACTTGCATACATAAAATGAATAATAGAAAGAAAGAGTAAGATGAAAGAATAATGAAAAGGATATTCAACATTAGTTAGTCTGTGACTGCCTAAATGGATGAGGACTGAGGTGGAAACAGGATGTCCCTGTGAGGTTTAAAAAGGCATTGTAGACAGTTTATAAACACACCCTAAGATTGGAGCTTACAGACCACTGGCAAGATGCCTGAGCTGATTTTTGAAGCTAGCGCACCCCTACAGAAAACAGCCAGATTCCTAGGTCACCATAACTAAGATAGCTGAAGTGGTTCTGGATTATCTTTGGAGAGAAGGAAGTTAAGAAGCCAGAGTTGAATGAGTAGTTCACAAAGAGGTCAAATCCCTGAGGATGATACCGGCAGGAGGGGAGAGGAGAGAACCCCAGATTCCCCCTCGGTCTTCGTGCCTTCTTACTGTATGCCCTCCTGGCCTAAGCTGAAGATACAGCAGGGAAGAATTCCCGTTGTCCTGGATCTTACAACTTAGTGGCAGGAGGATGACATTAATAAATTCTAGGTGTACTCAGAGGTGATGTCGGTGGGAAAGATGCTTGCTCTTTCTGGGATTGCCTGCACAGTTTTAAAGCATAAAGGTCATGAATCACAAAAACATGAGTGGTATTGAATCTGACATTTCCCCGTCTTTTGGAGTTTTAATTTTGTAAAGTTTGATTTTGTTGAGAAACATCGTTTTCTTATACCAAATCAAATTTGTTTTGTGTTTGAAATACCCGATACATTGCATTGGAAAATAGAACCTCCATTTTTAAAAAAAAAAAATTGTGTAAACCCAATGTCAAACCATATATCACTAGTATAAAGCAGACAAACCTCTTTTTTTAAACTACTGATGATTTGATCACTAGAAATACTCTAATTTCTCCCTGGATGTTAGAACAGTCTTTAAGGTTTTATGGCATCTTACTCTGCAAATACAAAAACAGGAGAATTTCTGACTAGAGCTCTTGTCCTCGCCTGCTGGAAGCTTTAACGCACCCACACAGGCAGCTTCTGTTCGACTCTGGGACTCTGGAAGAACGACACACTTAGGCTCTGGGTTCCCAGGACAGCGCTTCTGCCCTTCCAAGTGCCTTTGCTTTGGAACGGTTGGGGAACGCACCTCAGTCCTTGGAGGCCCAGGTCCCCAGCTTGTCAGGGCCGGACACGCTTCTTATGCAGGACTGTGTTGCCAGTGTGTCTCCTTCTAACCACACCTCCTCCCCGTCCTCTCTCGCCTGTCTTTCCCTGTAGCACAGCCTATCCAGTAAACAGTGGGAGAGTCCTGGGGTCTCATTCCGCGCCCATCCAGTACACAGTGGGAGAGTCCTGGGGTCTCATTCCGCGCCTATCCAGTACACAGTGGGAGAGTCCTGGGGTCTCATTCCGCTTTCTTCCCCTCATTCTCAGTCTTCGATGGCCTCACTGTCTCCATCACTGTGTGCCTGTCCCGTTTTCAAGAAAACACACTAGGGCTGCAAAGAAGGCTTGTGTTGCTCTTGCAGAGAGCCAGAGTTTGGGTCCCAGCACCCGTATCAGGTGCCTCACAGCCGCTTGTCAGGCAGCCTTCTGGAGGTCTTCACCTTCGTGGGCACCGCAGTCACATGCACACACATGGACCCACAGTTTTAAATGAGGAAATCCATGAGCAGGTGCCTCCACCACCCAGAATACTGTGATGGAGTTTTAAGTCATTGCTTGCATTCCATAATGCAAATGATGCAAAAGTGCTCACTTAATGTGTTTTTATAATGTGAACCATCCTACTGTGTCAGGATCAAAATGCTACTTGTGTTTCTTATATATACCATCACACCATACTAATGTAATCTATTTAGGCAAGGTAAAATTGTCTATTAGATATGAGTCTCAGGAATACATTTTTTTCACCTAAGTAAATTCCATCTCGGCCTTTCTGTGACAGTGAATAAATGTGATTGATGTGATTAATATTGTGTAGGTCTGACCAACCGCAGTTACAGTAAGAAAATAGTAAGAAAACAGGATTTAAAGCTAGGCATGGTGGTGCACTCCTGTAATACCAACTCAGGACCCAGGGTAGGAGGACCCAAGTTGAAGGCCAGCCTGAGGTATGTACCAGGTTTAGGCTTAGGCTAGCCTGGTCTACACAGTGACAGCTTGGAGAGGGTTTTAAGCACAGTTAATTATGAATGATCCTTACCAATTCATTGAACTTTACACTTTAATGTTCATTATTTTGTTTCCTATTCTATAGACATTAGGAGTTTAGAATTTTAAATATTTTGTTTATATAGTGAAATCTCACACAGTAAGTTGGGGAAGGCTGGTTTTTTGTTTTGTGTTGTTTATCGCCAGGCTGAAGAAAGTATAGAACCTTTGTGGAATTCACACATTCTGGTAGATATATAATCATTTTCCAAAACAATTTATTAATATGTGGTAAATTGTAAATGCCCATATCCTAAATCTGAGAAATTGTCTATAGAAACTCCTAACAAATTCTGAGCCATCCACAAGAATATCAGTTATTCCTTCTAAAAACCCTATTGTGGTGGGTGATTTGTGCATGCCATAGTGTATGGGTAGAGGTCAGAGGACACTGTGGGGTCAGGTCTGTCCTTCCACCATGGGGGTCCAGGAGATTGAACTTAGATCGTCGGGCTTGGCCCCCAAGCATCTTTACTTGTTGAGCCATTTACGGGCCCCCATTTTTTAAAGTAGAAAAATATCTGAATGTCCATCATGAAAGAACAATTAGCAATTGTGATGCACTTACACACTGAACTCCTACTATATCAGGTTGATAAAATGAACACAGCTGACTCACACCTGTCGATATTAATAAACTGAGAAAGTTGTGTTGCGTGTAGAAAGCGAAGTTATGGCCTGATGCCATTTCTATACAGTTCAGGACCTGGGAAACTCCTAGACAAGGTCATGGCTAGTAAATAATACAGTAAAATATCCTCAGATGCTCGAGGAGAATAAAAACCACATTTCCGGTAATGAATGCTCTTGAGAAGAAAGAAAAGGGAGTAAGATGTGACGGAAGGAGTCCTGGCCATGTGTGTAATATATTGCTTTACTTCAAAGACACTGATGGGCAGTGGTGGTGCATGCCTTTAATTCCAGCACTCAGGAGGCAGAGACAGGCGGATCTCTGTGAGTTCAAGGCCAGCTTGGGTCCAAAGGCTCCAAAGCTACACAGAGAAACCCTATTTTAAAAAACCAGAGCGGGCCAGGAAAAAGACACTAAGCAGAACTGGACTGAATGATGTTACATTTCAATAAAGTTGCAAGATTTTGAGTTTTCATTTTACAGGAATATATTTCTATCTCCCTGTCTTTGTTTTGAGACAGAGTCTCACTGTGTAGCCCTGACTATCCAGGATCTCACTCTGTAGACCAGGCTGGTCTCCAGTTCACAGAGATCAGCTTGCCTCTGCCTCCTGAATCCTGAGATCAAGGTGTTCTCCACCACACCAAGCCCTTATTCATTCTCATTCTCTCTCTCTCTCTCTCTCTCTCTCTCTCTCTCTCTCTCTCTCTCTCCCACCCCCTCTCTCTTTCTGTCTTTCTCCCTCAAAAAGTATTTTATTGGGGCTAGAGAGATGGCTCAGAGGTTAAGAGCACTTGCTGCTCTTCCAGAGGACCCGGTTTCATTCCCAGCACCAACATGGCAGCTCACAACTGTCTGTAACTCCAGTTCCAGGGGATCTGGCATCTTCACACAGACATACATGTAAGCAAAGCATCAATGCACATATAAAATACATAAATTTTTAAAAGTATGTTATTGATATTTATGAGTGTTTTGCCTGCATGTGTGTGCAGTGCCCACAGATGCCAAAAGAGGGCGTCTAATCCTCTAGGACTGAACTTACACAAAGTCCCTAACTGCCATGACAGTGCTGGAAATCAAGCTCAGGTCCTCTGGAAGAGGAGCCAGTGCCTTAACCACTGAGCCACCTCTCCACCCTCTTATTCTCTATTTTAATCTTAGTTTGTTTTATTTTGAATGCATTCTCATTGTTTTTAAAGCATATAGACCCCTCAAAGTAATACCAGTGTGCACAAATTCAGCTCAGTGGTAAAGTTCTATATAGAAGAGAATTATCTGTGTGTTATTCTTTTTTTTTTTAAAGATTTATTTATTTATTATGTATACAGCATGTATGACTGCAGGCCAGAAGAGGGCACCAGATCCCATTACAGATGGTTGTGAGTCACCATGTGGTTGCTGGGAATTGAACTCAGGACCTCTGGAGGAGCAGTCAGTGCTCTTAACCTCTGAGCCATCTCTCCAGCCCCCTGTGTGTTATTCAAATTAGTCCACAAGCAAAGAGGCTGACAGCCAGTGATAATGAGTCAAGCTGATCCGCAACCTGTGTCGTGATGGTGGTCCTGTCCTTCTTTTGAGACTGTAAGCTCTACCCTGTCACTCTCCTTAGCCATCCTAGTTTTATTCCCCTTTATCACGTGATTGATCAGGAACTGCTCTGAGCATTAGAGAAAGGAAGCAGGGTAGACTGGAGCTCAGTGGAAAGAGCGCGTGTCCAGCAGGCGCTGTCCCACACTCAGATAAAGAAAAGCCAGCTTCCTTGGGTTTTATATTTCACACGCCATTATTAAGCAGGCCAGTATTTTGTCTGGAGATTACCAAAATAAGTAAATTATACATTCTCTTAAATATTCAGTCTTAAAGGCAAAAAATATTTAAAATTATGACTTGACTGATTATTTTCCAAGGAAATAGATTTTTATGATTTTCTATCTACATGTTGATATATTTAAGTGAGCTGAGGCTTTGTGAACAACCATAGTTTTTAGTCAATTTCAAAACTCTAACCAGCCCTGAATCACTCAGCCTTACATGTCTCCTATCAACTGTGAATGCAACAAGACCATGGTTTATCCTGGGTAAGTGTAAGATAAAGTGGGGGTGGGTCTGAGAGGAGTTAGGGGACAGAGAGGTGAATATGATCAGAATTCTTTGTATGCATGTATGAAATTCAAAAGAATTAATGGAAAATAGTATTTAAAGACTGATGACCTCATATATTGAGTTTTTGTGATCTTTACAGATTGCCACACTGTGATGACTCTGGTCCCATAACTCCTGATCCACACACAGAGCTCCTTGGTCCTCAGAGGAAAACTGAACAAGTCCCAAGAGACATTGGCTTTTGGTGCCCAAAGCATCTCAAGGTTTCAGGAGAGCAAGGCTATAAGTTCCTGGGGATTGACCAGTGTGCCCCTCCGTGCCCCAACATGTATTTTAAAAGTGATGAGCTGGACTTTGCCAAAAGTTTCATAGGAATAGTTTCAATATTTTGTCTTTGTGCAACTCTGTTCACATTTCTTACATTTTTAATTGATGTTAGAAGATTCAGATACCCAGAGAGACCAATTATCTACTACTCTGTCTGCTACAGCATTGTCTCTCTCATGTACTTTGTTGGGTTTTTGCTGGGCAATAGCACAGCTTGTAATAAGGCAGACGAGAAGCCGGAGCTCGGGAATACGGTCGTTCTGGGCTCCAAGAATAAGGCTTGCAGCGTGGTGTTTATGTTTTTGTATTTTTTCACAATGGCTGGCACTGTGTGGTGGGTGATTCTCACCATCACTTGGTTCCTAGCCGCAGGAAGAAAGTGGAGTTGTGAAGCCATCGAGCAGAAGGCGGTGTGGTTCCATGCGGTTGCCTGGGGGATGCCCGGCTTCCTGACCGTCCTGCTGCTCGCTATGAACAAAGTCGAGGGGGACAACATTAGCGGGGTTTGCTTCGTGGGCCTCTATGACCTGGATGCCTCGCGGTACTTTGTCCTCTTGCCTCTGTGCCTCTGTGTGTTTGTTGGGCTGTCTCTCCTCTTAGCTGGCATCATTTCCTTAAATCATGTTCGACAAGTTATACAACATGATGGCCGGAACCAAGAGAAACTGAAGAAATTCATGATTCGAATCGGAGTCTTCAGTGGCCTGTATCTTGTGCCCTTAGTGACACTTCTTGGTTGCTATGTCTATGAACTAGTGAACAGGATCACCTGGGAGATAACTTGGTTCTCCGATCATTGTCGCCAGTACCGCATCCCGTGCCCTTATCAGGTAGGAGCTGTCATTTGGATTATGCCTCTATTTACTTTTCGTGTTCCTGGAAATGCACTTGTATTAGTCATGGTCAGAAAATTAGACTTCGGTTTGAGAAGACCTAACAGACACAGGGAGTCCTTCCCTGTGTGCCAGTCAGGCTGGGTGACAGGCTGAAGTCCCTCCCTGTGTGCCGGTCAGGCTGGGTGACAGACTGAAGTCCCTCCCTGTGTGCCGGTCAGGCTGGGTGACAGACTGAAGTCCCTCCCTGTGTGCCAGTCAGGCTGGGTGACAGGCTGAGTTCACTCCTCCAGCAGTAGTTCTAATTACAGTTATGATACAGTGAGTCTCCTGTAGTTATTTTAAGCATTGAATTGAAAACAACAATTAAATTGGGTTATAAAAGCAGATTAACAGTCATGAAGAATAGGCCTCACCAGAGGGATAAAAGGAAAAGTAAGTTCTCCTGAACTGGAGAGGTTTACTGTTTTTTTCCCAACTCCTTTGGTAGGAAACCGTGTTTGGGTTTAACCTTTTGTGCAGTGTGTGCTTCTAAAAACAGAACTTGATTTCTGCCCATCCCATCCTGTCATTCTTAACGGAGAAAAACCACACAATTGAAAATAGGTTTCATGTGGCTCTGGTGCTTATGATTAGTATAAGGTGCTGTTTTTAAAATGAAAAATGGTAAATATATTCATGAAAATATATTTTTAAGTAAAATAAATTTTAACAGTATGCAGTATGCCTATACTTAGGAGGCTGAGGTAGAAGAATGGTTGAGTTTGAAGTCAGCCTGGGCAATATAGTAAGACTGTCTCAAATAAATTAATTAAAATTGAGGGTTCTGCCTGGCTGGGATGTAGCTTAGTGGCAGAGCCCTCGCATAGTGTGAGTAAGGTCCTGGGATGTATTGGACAGCTTCTCTCCCTCCCTCCCTCCCTCCCTCTCTCCCTGTTCTTCCTGTTCTTTGGCTCCTCCTATAGAACCATTTAAATCTATAAGAATGAGCACTGCAGCATTTTTTGCAATTGGAACAGTTGGTTACTTAGGGAAGTAACCTAAGGATGCTGCAATAGGGGCTGGTTGAGTGAGGTAGAACTCACAAAGGAGCAAGCCTTGGAAAGCAGAGCTCTGTCTGCTGGTGTGCGTGGGGCTCCTAGGCATATTGATTGGCACAAAAAACAAGATACAATGCAATCTGTGCAATACTTTTATACTTGAACACTTACTATAGTATTTGAAAATGTATGCTTTAAACAACAGTATGATTTTACTTTTTATGAAATTTCTACATTTTCACATCTTACTAATATTTGTTTTGTGGCAGCCAAACAAATTTTAATATCATGTGCACTGGTGCAGAAGGACTAGAAAATAAGAGTTTGATTAGTTTTTAGTTTTTCCTTTTTATGCAGATGAGTGTTTGCCAGCATGTGTGGATATGGCCACATGCACGCTCGGTGCCACAGAGGACAGGAGAGGGCGCTGGAGCAGAGCTGTGGATGGTCGTGACCACCACGTGGTGCTGGGACCTGAGCCTGAGTCCTCTGCAAGGGCAGCCGGTGCTCCCAGCCGCTGAGCCTTCAGTGCTCCCGCTGCTGAGCCTTCAGTGCTCCCGCTGCTGAGCCG